GAGTGCGTCGCCGAGATGATGCGCGGTGGAGACTTGGAGACTTTGCTGTGTGCTGTGGCCCGCCACGAGCGCGTCTTCGAGATGATGCGCGGGCCTTGCCGGCGGGGTTGGCTTTGGCTAGGAGGACATAGACACGGTTTTTGTTGTGGGCTGTTTTTGTTGTGTCTATGTCAGTTTGTTTTTTGGGGGTCTGAGCATTGCTTCAGTCGTGCCACATGGTCTAGGAGGACATAGACACGGGCTGTCCGGGTTGATGGGGTCTTTTCCTCGGTCTTCTGGTCCCCACATCTCACGACTCCGGAAATCTAAACCATGAAGCCTAGGAGAGCCATGCTATGGCCCATGCTGACGCCCTATAGCTTATAACTACTGTACAGTCTTCCATTCAAACGGGCGTTTATTTCAAATATCCTTAGTTCAACTGTCTTTCCGGGAGTTTGGAAAGCCACTACGGCACTATGGGTGCAAAACCATAATCAACAGCATTTGCGCCACCATCGTCGTCCTCGCAACTTCCTGATCATCATCGCATCCAGCGTCATCCTTATGAAGACCAGCATCCTTTTCGTCATCTTCAACATCATCTGCATCATCATCATCATCATCATCGTCATCCTCATAGCGAAGTCCTCGGGGCCTGTATTATCCGGGTACCCTGAACCTCCCAAACCCCTAAACCCTTGAACCCCATGAAACCTGCAAGGCCCGGGCATCTTCCATTGCGCGAGCACGTGGTCGCGGGGCGCGAGTACCGGGCAGGGGTGAATTTGCAGGGTATGAATGGTTTTGGGCGATAGGAGGGAGGGTGAGTTCGGGCTTTTGGTGATCGTCGCGGGGTGAGGTTTAGGTAGGCATTTCAACGTACTATTAGTACGAACATCACATTGATGTGATCGGCCTCGTAAGTCATAGATGAAAGGATGAAATGCACGGATGTAGAGATGACGAGGACACTGATGATGAGACGATCTGAAGATTGCACGACGATGATGATACGATGAGGATGAGAGTGAACATTGCGATGACGGTGACGACGTCGTTTATGTTCTTGATGATAAGGTGATGATGATGATGATGATGATGATGATGAGGATGACAACAAAGGTGAAAGTGAATAGGACGAGGAGAGTAATGCGACTGAGATCGTTAATATTTTTCTTACTATTAATCCTGATCACCATTGTTCTTCTTATTCTTGTTGTTCTTATCATTTATGCTCCTGCCGTCGGTTTTTATCGTACCAGAAGCACTGAACATTGGCTTCAGGTCCACATGCGAAACAGAAAGGACACACCCGCGCCCCAACCGAGTGGAGACCCGAACATCATTGTCATGGTCGGACTGAGATTGCAACTCCTCACCCCAAACCCTGAATACAAAGCACGCGTCAACTGTTGAGTCCTGCACCCGTGAAACCATCCTTTTGGAAACAGATGCAAAGATCGCTACTTGTAGACGTTTGTCGATCTCTCTCTCTCTCTCTCTTTCTCTCCCTCCCTCTGTCTGGGCTCAATCGGCCTCTGTCTCTGTCTCGCTCAGAATTCAGAAGACACGCAGCTAAGCCAGCACACAGTCCAGAGCATACTTTAGTAGGTGCGCAACCTCCTGGAACGTTACCCACACAAGCCTGTGGCCCGCAGAAGCAGCGCCCTCGCCACGAGCGGCTCCGATGAGGCGTGCTTGCAACCTCGGAAAGTGGATAGTGCCATTATCCATTAATAGAGAACCCCGCCCCCATGACCTACACCCACCCCCCCCCCTAGCCAGCCCCCTTCCCTAAGCCATTCTTTGCTGCGCGAGTCGTGGTGATTGGTTCCTGCCAACGGTGAGCTCACACACAAAAGGATTGAAACTAGCATAGCAGATTAAGGCAACGGTGAGCTCACGCACTAGCGGACTGGAGAAAAGCTGCTTAGATCACGCACAAGCGGAAAGCGACTTAGAGCACCGCAAAATCAACTCCGGATAGACAGGCAGGACAGCTTACGTGCCCCGCAGAAATGGAAGTACGGAGATACAAGTATGGTGCACATTCAAATCGTGAGGCTCCCTACACAGCTCACTCCTGGGTGTTGTTGTTCTTGAGTTTGGCTGCATCGAGCATGGCTTTCAGCTTCGCACTCATCTCGCCGGTCTTCGGCTCCGCATTGCCATCCCCGATCGGGAGGACTGCGGTCTCTTCTGCCCCTGGCTTCGGAGCGGGCTTCGGCTGCGCCTCTGGTTTCGGCTTCGGCACTGTCTTCGCGACTTTCGTCTGTCCTCCAGACGTCTCCGTCTTCTTGCGTTTCTTGCCAGGATCCGCCAGAGACGGAGCGTACAGCTTGGAGCTGGGATCCGACATGGCATCGATGACAGCCTGGAACACTTCCTTCTCAATGTACTCCTTCTGTGCCGGTGTCCCGGTGACACCGATGTACCCCAGGCGGTTAGTAACTGCCCAGCAAGCCAGCCGACCTGTCTGAGGAGTAAGGTCGATAATCTGACTGCCACTGGTTGCATGCATGACGCTCTCCCACAGGAGGCATGGGACTTCGTGGTAGTTCACTGGCTGCTTGCAGTCGGGTGGCAACGTCTTCGCGGTTCCACGTCCACCGCCAACATCAGGAAGCGGAATGTCTTCCTCGTTGGTGATTCCGGAGTCCTCCTGGATCTCACTCTTATCCTGCTCGGCACCCTCATCATCGGAGTCTCCCGTCACAGTCTTCCCACCCACCGCTTGCCTGCGTTTGCCCCAGAAGGTCTTCTTGAGCTCGTAGGCCATGCAGGGCAAGCTTGTCCATGGCTCCAGCACGAACGGCCCCATCATGTCACAACCATTGTTTCCTGCGTCAGATCTGCTATGCAACCAAATCTTAGGGTGTAGTGTATAGGGTTCTTAAATACTTAAACCCATCACGTCTCCGAAGAAACAGGCCTGGCACATGCAGGTGAGACTTCAGGGGGATGTCGGTCGATGCATCAAACCACCAAAACATCTTCTGCGAGCACTTCATCGCGGCAAGGGCTCTCTTGGAGGTGCGCCACTTTCTGTTCTGCACACTGTCCGGCGTGAAGGTGACCAGGATTTCCCGCCACACGATATTGCTACCCTTGCACTTGGATCTGCCAACCCCGGGCCCAACTCCGAAGTGTTTCGAGGCGAACTGGTTGTTGGTTCTTCCTCCGTTGAGCACGACGTAGATCTCGTTCGGAGCCAGGGTTGTCAAGGATGTGGTGCCATGTCGAGCCAGCGCGACTGCCTCGAACAATTTCTTCACTGTCGCCGGCCGTAGCCAAAGGGGGCTTGCGGATGTGCGGAGCTGTGATGGCCTCTCCAAAGCCGTTAACGTCGAAGAGGACGATGCAGTTTCCATGCTGCTGCGCGGCCTTGAGGAGATGATGCTTCGACAAGCTGCTGGCCAGGAGAGACGGACTCTTCTTGTCCTCTTCCGACTCCAGCACTAAGTACGACTTGAGCAGGCGTCGGGCAGCAGCTTCACGCTTCGCCTGCAATCCGAACAACAGACTCAATCCCTCAACTCTCAAAGTGGCTTCTCAAATTAAGCACTCAGAGACTTGCTGGCAGCATGGCCTCCACAGTGTCCTCCACGGTCCCCGAATTTGCCGAGACGGCCGTCGCACCCGAGGCACCGGAGGACCCAGCAGCAGCGGCAGGGACAACGATGGCATCGCCGTCATCTACCGCCCCGGCCTCCTGGATCTTCTTCATCTCCTTCTTCAACTCCTCATCGATGTCAGCGATGGCGTCTTTGTACGGCGAGTAGTCGTGCAGCAGCTCCTGCGCGTTCTTGCCGTTTTTCATGGCCAATCGAACTGTCGCATCATCCTGGCCCTCCACTGCGAAGCAAGCTGACTCGATCAACTCCAGCAGTTTCAATGCACTGTTCGGCCATGTCGCCTGCCAGCTGCAATCCACAGCTTCGGTGTCCTCGTCTTTCAAAGGCCTCAAGAGGTTCACGTAGCTGTCCCTGGACTCAAACACCTCACGAAGTTTCTCTTTTGCCGAGGAGACAAAGTTCCGACCATCCATGAATGGTCCCAGCAGGTACAGCTTCATCTCACGTTGCCGCAGGAATACAAGACCGTATTGCTTGGTACCGGCGCCTTGCAAATTCCGAGCGCTGAACTCACGGGCACTGAGATTCATGGTCTCGAACCTGTGCATCGTCGTCAGGAGCAGCCATTGCATCTTGACGACGCTTTGTCGGCACATGCCAACGATTTCGTTGAGCTTGTGCACACTCGCAAAGGGGGACTCATCAAGGTGGTCCTGTTCGGCCTTGAGAACAACGTCTCGCAGTTTCTCGTGAGTGAACATCTTCTCGTAGACCGTCACGCATGCTTTGATGGTGCCTGGACTGGTTCGGTCCTTGTCCTCCTTGCTGGCCTCCTGGTCCGAGCGCTTCACCTTCAGGAGCCTCGTCTTGTAGAGGTAGGCCAACTCCTCGTCAGTCAGTGTCCCGCACACAAGCTCTTTGCGTACCTCGTGCTCGGGCACATGCTACTGTTACTTCACCCACTCACCCACCCACCCACCCCGGCACCCGGCAACCCTGACACCCACGAAACTAATTGTGCGTGTTGCGCGCGTGTTAGATCCGGGCTACCAACCCTATAAGAAAATACCCTCAACTGGGGGCTTCACCTTGAAGTTGTAGACGTCGAAGATCATCTGTGTGGTCTTGTGGGTGAGGAGACGGTAGTCCTGCTCAGCCTTGACTCGCTTGTTGGTCGCATGGAAGTAGATGTCCTCTTCGGTCTGGAGGTCAATGAAAGCAGCAGGGCAGGACAGCACCACGCGCCTCCATTGCAGGAGTTCATCCTCCTCGGCTCCGAGCACGATCCTTTCATGGATCGCCATGATGACAGCGTGCTGGAGCCTCGATCGGACATGGGTGTCAGGGGTTCGCTTCTGGAGGGAACCTTCACGGCTCACGGTTTCCTAGACCTAGCGGGTGTCAGGGCTCAGGGCTCAGGGTTTCAGGATTACAGCAGGGAGCTGGGTTCAGGGGTTCGTCATCTTAAGTTCCAGAATTTTACAAGGTTTAGGACTTAGGGAGCCGGCTTTCGGGTTTCATGTTGGGTTGAACCATGCAGTTTCCTGGAAGCTCAGCCCCTGACTCCTCGGGACAACACTTGCGCCAACGAGCGCCAATATCCTGGGGGTAAACGAACTCCAGCCTGTCCTCCACAACCTTGGGGCCGCGGGCCATCAGGCGATGCACGTGGTCCGACAAAGCCTTCGCCATGATAGGTACTCCGGGGGTCACTGACTCCAAGGGATTTGCCCACAGAAGGTTGACACCGCAGACATACTCACCGCCCGAATCACGGGCAGCAGCCAAGGCTTCGTTGTCCAGCGGAGCCAGAAAGCCGGCCTGGTCCCCGGCGACAGCGGGCACAAGTGGCAGGGGGTCCAGGGTGTCAATGTTCGGCCCAAAGACTGGATGATCGCGAATTGCTTCCAAGCACTCCTCTATCATTTTGAAATGCTGCACATTCGGATCGTAGGTGTCTGCCGGCAGTCGGCCGAGACCCGGCGCAATGGTTGGCGTCCCGGTATTTGCCTTCTTTTTTGGTGCCATGCTCTTCCGGATGCAAAGACTTGCAAAGAGAGTATGTGGACGAATTCGCGCAACTCTCGAGCACATGGTAGCCACACAAACAGAAGCACCTACACACACACACACAGACAGACAGTGCGCGTGCACCAAAACCATTCTCACTGCACAGCATGGAGGCGGCAGGCTGCATACAGTGAATATAGTGACCCTGACGACAGACTCATCAAGTCCTGCTGCAGTGACACTTAGCCGACTTAGCCCCATTTTCCCAGCTGACAGAACGGTCAAGTTCGGAAGTACTTCAGCTACTCTTCACTTAAAAAGCCTCCACGCACGTCTCGTCGTTGCAGGAGTCTGTGTCCCTGTCATGTTCTGAAGCACTTCAGCTACTCTTCACTTTAAAATTCTCAACGCACGTCTCGTCGTTGTCGGAGCAAGAGTCTGTGTCGATGACAGGTTCAAGGTAGTCACGGGAGACCAATTCATGGAAGATGGGACCCATGTCGGCCACGACCTGCTCCCTGAGTGCTTCGAGTTCGCACAAGCGCTGGTACAAGATGTAGCTGCTCACCTGGCCAAGGTCCACATGGGGTTTCGAGTTCTTCACCTCCGCAAGGCACTCGGTGGGTGTACTTCCGCGGCCGAGGACCTTTGCAGTGAGTTGCTCTAGTCCAGCACTTTCTTGGTCTGCGAGTCGCTTGGACAGCTCTGAAGCCTCCTGAGCAGTGTCAGCCCTGTTGATCAGCCAGCCATGATGTTTAGGGAGACAGCCCACCTGACGTTGGATACGGTCACGTTTTGACCTCTTTTCTTTCTGTAGCGCAGTCCTCTTTCGAGGCGGTTTCTTTGCCGGGGCTCCTGCTGCCTTGCGAGGCATGGCTCTGTCTACGAGAGGTCCCTGCAGTAAACCCAAAACTTGCGGTCCCAGCAGAATTGGCTCGTGAATCTCGGCTGCTCGCGACACACCGTGCAAGACATGCACCCGCCAGCTCGGGTTGTATGAGAGCCTGGCAGGTGCGATGCGTCGCCAAGCCTCCCGGCAGAGCTCGTGAGGACTGTTCTCTAGGAGCTCCTACCTAGACAGTGCACGCACACCCTACCGTAAACCCTAAACTCCTAAACCCTGTGCCCTGTTCTACACGTCTGAAGCTTGAACCCTCTACCCCTAACCCCAGTGCTCTTGGGCAACACGGACTGGGACTCCAAGCCCTGCGCACTATATACTACATGAAGTAGAGGTTATCCAAAGCATTCTTTTAATATGTAATGTTTTGGATACAGCAATTATGAAGTACGACGTGTAACATATACTATATATGTATATCTACCATACAGAGAGATATAGTAGATAACTTTTTGTATATACATATATACAAGTGTATATATATATATATATATATACACATCACATCACAATGTCAGCTGAATACATGTATTATATAATGCATAACATGAATACATATATTATAGAACGGATAACATATACTATATATGAGAGAATTTGTTCCCAAACGTCCGCGCCCGTTTTGGAGCCTTCCATGGGGCCACAAAAC